TCATAACTGATGATTTCCCCTGTGTCTGTTCTCTACTTTTGCTTTCATTTAGTGACTCAAAATTATTTGTAACTCAAAAGGCAAAAAGTTTGTAAGACTAGAAAAATCGGTCCAAGGTTTGACTAACAAAAACAAAATGGCTGATCTCGTTTCCATTGCTATGAATCTCTAAAAAAACACGCCTAACTGACAAGAAACACAAGAAAGCTATTCTTTAAGATAAAATCCAAACATGATTAGAAATAAATTATCGATTGGTTTGAAAAGCTCAGAAGCGAATTAAAATTACAACAATTTATAACAGTGACGTCAAGTTTTTTTCTGTAAAGACTAGTGAACAAAACAAGACGAGTCGGAAACGCCGAGGTAAGATTTTGGTTGTGGTATATGTGAATAATTTCGCCCTCCTGATAACTCGGCGACACAAGATTCCCCTTTTCAGTTTCTAAAACTAGGGGAGCCCCCTTAAAAAAATTGGGAAATATCCCTTTTGAATATAACATAAGAAAGCTATTCCTTAAGATAAAAACCAAACATGATTAGAAATAAATTATTAATTGGTTTCAAAAGCTCAGAAGCGAATTCAAATTACAACAATTCATGACAGTGACGTCAAGTTTTCCGCTGTAGTCCCCATTTCACTTATTAGCATTCGATTTCGCTTTTAAAACTTAGAAACTTCAACAATCCGTCGATCAGGCAAACCATACAACAAAATTGAAACTTCTTTTCACTATGTAAGTTTGCGGACAAAATAAAATGAGCTTACTGATAGCGTTTTGCTTTTTGTGACAAAGATATCACCTTTCAGTTTCTAAAAATAGGGGAGCTCCCTAAAAAAAATAGGGAAGTTTCCCTTTTAAACATACTTTCTAGGCAAGTATATTTTGATAGCTGCAGTGGGGTATTTCCAAAGTATTACTGTAGAGACTAGTGAAGATAACTAGACAGGTCGGAAACGCCGAGGTAAGATTTTGGCTGTGGTATATGTGAATAATCTTACCCTCCTGATAACTCAGTGACACAAACGTAGGTGCAATTACAGATGTCCACTAATGAAGATATTTTTTCTTCTTTAGCAAAATCATTCTTTGAAAAAATTGAAGACTAGGTGAATTTTGTCAGCTCGCAATATCAGCGCGGCTTTTAATTTTTTTCAGCATTGTAATTCTACCCACAATATTTTATTTCTCGGCGAAGAGTCATTGTCAAAATTCTCAGACGGCGATGTGAAATTGGCTTCATTAGGTTTATTCAGATCCACAATGCTACATTAAATTTATATTACATGGGCGTAAATCTAGTCGATGAACTTACTCATTGGAAAGAGCCCTGAGTTAACATGTAAAGGATTCTACAGATATAGATTATCACTTTACAGAGTTAAGTTCTCATTTATTTATATTTAATTACATCTCAGGTCCGCAATCGTAACGCTGCAAACCACATCTTAATTCCAAATTTTCTCTACATAAACGGTTGGTTCGATTGTTTGCTCATATTAAACGGTTTACTGTGGGCCTAAAGTCGGTCAACTGAAGATATTTAAAATAACGCACGCGGTCTGGGGTCGTTAATCGCAGGCGAAGTTTTAAACTCATGACCTATTAAAGCTTTACACGAAAAGACAGCAAATGATATCATAACTGATAATTTCCTCTGTGTCTGTTCTCTTCTTTTGCTTTCAATTAGTGACTCTCAAAATTGTTTGTAACTCAAAAGGCAAAAAGTTTGTAAGACTAGAAAATCGGTCCAAGGTTTGACTAACAAAAACAAAATGGCTGACCTCGTTTCAATCTCTATGAATCTTTAAAAAAACCACACTCAACGGACAAGAAACACAAGAAAGCTATTCTTTAAGATAAAACCCAAACATGATTAGAAATAAATTATTAATTGGTTTCAAAAGCTCAGAAGCGAATTCAAATTACAACAATTCATGACAGTGACGTCAAGTTTTCCGCTGTAGTCCCCATTTCACTTATTAGCATTCGATTTCGCTTTTAAAACTTAGAAACTTCAACAAATTGAATCCGTCCATTGGTATTTATTTTATTAGTTACGTGCATACCTGATATCAATAAAGCAAACCATACAACAAAATTGAAACTTCTTTTCACTATGTAAATTTGCGGAAAAAATTAAATGAGCTTACTAATAGAGTTATGCTTTTTGTGACGAAGATTTCCCCTTTCAGTTTCTAAAAATAGGGGAGCCCCCTTAAAATATTGGGAAATTTCCCTCTTGAATATGCTTTCTAGGCAAGTACATTTTGATAGCTTCAGTGGGATATTTCCAAAGTCTTGCTGTAAAGACTAGTGAAGATAACTAGACAGGTCGGAAACGCCGAGGTAAGATTTTGGTTGTGGTATATGTGAATAATATCGCCCTCTTGATAACTCAGAGACACAATCGTAGGTGCAATTACAGATGTCCGCTAGTGTAGATATTTTTTCTTGTTTTGAAAAATCCTTCTTTGAATGAATTGAGAAATAGGTGAATTTTGTCAGCTCACAATATCAGCGCGGCTTTTAATTTTTTTTTTTTTAGCATTGTAATTTTACCCACAATATTTTGTTTCTCGGCAAATAGTCATTGTCAAAATTCTTTGGCGGCGATGTGAAATTGGCTTCGTTAGGTTTATTCAGATCCACAATGCCACATTAAATTTTTACTAAATGGGCATAAATCTGGTCGATGAACTTACTAATTGGAAAGAGACCTGAGTTAACATGTCGAGGGTTGTACAGACGATAGATTATCACTTTACAGAGTAAAGTTCTCATTTATTTAAATGTAATTACATCCCATGTCTTCATTCTAAATTTTCTCTACGTAAATGGTTGGTTAGATTGTTTGCTCACTTTCAACGGTTAACTGTGGATATGTGCATTGTCTCACAAGCGGAACTGTTGCTGTGGGTTTATTACATTAGCTTTCAGTCTCTGACTCTTTGGTAAGGCTGGTAAGAAAACTTAAAAGAAGATCGGAAACGCCGAGGTAAGATTTTGCAGATGTAATGAATGATGTCGCCGTCCCGACTTGGCGACGCAAACGTAGGTACCTCGAGGCAAGTCCATAATTGCAGTTAGATATTTCCAGAATCCTGCATGAAGGTAACTAAAAAAGAACTCGGAAACTCTGGGGTAAGAATTTTTGGGTGTAGTAGGATTCCCCTAAAACTCAGCGACATACACCTGGTTGCAGTTACACGTGTCCGCAAATTTATAATATTACCTCGTTTAGTGAAACACCTCTTTCAATGAAGACCACTAAGATAGTGGAATTCTCTTGAATTCTTGAAGTCTTGAAGTCCTAAAATGTTGGGTCGGACTTAAATTTTGCTTAGCAGTATAGGTTTACATTGAATATTAATTATTCGGTGAAGAGTCGGGGACATTGATCGCGTTCATTACTGTATCTTAGTCGGGATACATTTTAATTTACGCAAGGTCACGTTAATAGCAATCGTCTTTAGAGCGAGGAAAACTGCAGATGAATAACAAATTTAGTTACATCTCCTGTAGTCATCAGCCCTAACACATCAAACCATAAGTTCATCGACTCTTTACCTACGTAAATCCTTGGATAAATCGTTCGCGGGTATTTCACCGATTACCGTGGATCTAACAAAAGAATAAACAATTCCAGATGCTGATGATATATTTGTTATTCACCAAAACTGACTGTTAGATTCTGGATTTGGGTAGAATTAATGGAAAACTGCCAGTATTGAGACATTGTCGATCATTAACTGTCAGCAAAACCATACTGCAAATTTTTCCTTGCCAATATCGCAGAAATAACTCTTAGCTAGTCCGTAGGGGGAAATCAAATACTGCGTTTACATTTTATTTATTTATATTCAGAAAAAATGGGCAATAAGGTTTCTAGGACGAAATTTCCAAATATCTGGATCATAAACCAAAGTCGAATTTCGTGAGTTCCGGTTTCAGTTTCTAATGGAGGGGATCCCCCTTTTGCCCACTTTCGGGGTAATTTCCCTGTTACCCTTGAGATGTTTTAAAAAAATACCGGAGTGTATGAGAAGGCCCACTATAGTAGTGCTTGAAACTGGATCTTTTTAGGGTAAGTTTCATCGTGGAAACATCATATTCACTGTGATAAGAACAATTTTGATTACGACATGGTTCAACTTGTAAGGCGAGGATTTGGTTGTAGCAGAAGTGTTTATTATCTTCGAACTCAGATGATCTTTATCGCTGTCACAAATACAGCTGTCCACGCATTTATCTTTAAGCGATTCTAGTAACGCGTGTTAATTTGGCCCAAGGGTTTCTCAGCAGTTTTTTGAAATACATATTCTTTTGCACTGTAATTATATTCCGACGTTGAGCAATGGTGTCAAATTGAGAGAATTGGCTGTTGACTTATATTTAGCCTCGCTCAAAAGATCCTTATGGTGAACACCTGACGTCGTGTGGTCTGCGTTTGGATGTTAGTTAGGGGAGCCTTCAAGCCCCTAGAATTATCGATTTTACACTTTAGAGGTGATAATTCCCAATGCGCCGATCCACCTACACTCTTGTATACACAGCTATAATACAATGATGAGAGGAGTTAATTTGATTAAATTTCCAGTTAATTTAACTTTCCAATTACAGTGCGACTCGATATACTCTCTGGGAGTTTCATTTTCAGTGAAAACCTTGAAGTTTCTTCAAGAAATAACTGTGGAATCCGGCTAAAATGTCTTTATTGTTTTCGCCCATTTATATCATTATCAGAAAAATTAATATGAAAAATCGACAAACGACGGGTGAACGAAGAAATGATTGTTTTGGATTTTCAGCTAAAAGGGCTAATAGTTAAATTAATCAGGAATCATGGCTATGGCTTGGTTGTGGGCTAAGGTATGCTCTGCAAATCAAAGCAGGCGTAAATGTTGAAAGCCCTTCCTTTTCGATTTATGCTTAATACAACCAAAGCCGCTAAGATTGATATCATGAAGTTTTAGAGTCTTTGGTTCTCTTGCAGTGATGGCGGAAGGTGGTGAGGTGAGCCTTGATGATGAGAAATCTACAGACGGTAAGAAAGAAAAACAGGTTAATTACAGTTAACTTTCTGTTTTAGAAAATGTCCCATGATCATCATTTCCAGTTTGAGGCTTGATTGACAAAACACAATATTTGACAGTTTCGCTCAAGCATGATTGAAAATAAAATTAAAACCAGTTGGGAAATGCTCGTGAAAGGTCTTGTTTTTTAAGAGTAATCAGCTTTCACCATGAACGTGATGCTTTGTTTTCCAGTTGCAGAGGAACGTCAGGTCAGATCCGGTGACCAAAAGCTGAATTTAGCTGATGATTTTCAGGCAGGTGAGGAAAGTAGTCTTACAAGTCATAGTCACAACACAAATTTATTGTGTGATTTATTCTCTTGTTTCAGATGCCGTTTTTTTAATTAAAGGCAAACTCAGTTCCACACTAAAACTCTTATGCTGAGAGAAAAATCTGGAAGTATCAAGTTATCAGCTGCTTGTCATAACCCAAGTTTTAGGATAGCATATTTCTCAGAGTATATAGAATATTGAATGCGATCTCGTAAGGAACATAAAAGCAAAAAAAAAACAAAACAAAAACTTAAAAATATTGTCCTTTTCGCGCCTTTCAATTGGCTACCTAAAGTTATCAAAAGGGACCACCAGAGCGATCTTTTTTCGCTTCCAGTGTCCCCAGTACCTTTCTCCAGGTAAATCAGTTCCTCTTCATCTACTTTTCTGTTGTCCATCTTCGGGTCTCTATCGTTTTTACTCTCACTCACGCCTCGATTAGAGTCCAGCACCTGATGTTTTTGCTGATTTTGTCGATAAGATCAATATATATCTGTTCGATAAACTCGTTAATCAGTGTTTGATAACATAGCATGTCAGTACCGTGGCGCGTGGTCGGGAATCTTCTTTAAACGGCTGACTTATTCAAAATCTTATTTCGCCACTTCTACATCTTATTTTAGTTCTGATGGAAAAGATATATCAAACACTGGAGATCGAGTTTGACTATTTCTCCAAATACCCCGATACACGTTGTTTTGAATAACTTATCAGTGTTTGTCTATGTTAGCAAAATGTTGCAACGTATCTGATTTTTTACATCACAGCTGGTTTGGTACAATTTAGGTTTGAAACTGTTCAGTGGCTGAGCTATCATGCCACAATGATTGGAGGCCAACAGAGAGATCAGAAAGATCCCTATCCTCCGTATACTTGTCTGATTATTTTTCTCTCGTTATAGACGTTCTGGCCGTTTCACCGTCAGATGGTACATCGCAATTTGATGATGCAACCCTAAAAGGTAAGAATAACAGCTAAAATAAGCACAACCTATTCAATGAGGTATGGTTATCTAGTCAATTAGGGTTACGCTATCCTTTGAAGAGAGGCACACAAAGGAACCTGTACCGCCTGGCGATCATGTAACAGGAAAAATGCAGACATATTTTTCAAGTCAACAAAATGACTTCAACGTTTGAAAGCCAGTTCAACTTCACTCTCCTAGGTATTTTGCACAACTGTATATGTCTGGCTACTAATTTGTGCATCCCTATTGAGTTATGTTCTATATCATGGATGTTTTCTACTTTTCCGTAAGCAATGGTGGAGGTGTACTTGAAAGAAGGTGACAACAAGTACAGCAAAGGAAAAACCAACGATGCAGTACACTTTTACTCGAAGGGACTGCAAGTGTACTGCAAAGATATCAAACTAAACGCCGAACTCTATAGCAAAAGAGCAGCGGCTCAGCTTCTTCTTGGTAAGAATTTATCAATCGTTCTTGACCAGTTTTGTATTCATTTGACAGAGATTTAATACAGTCGTTTACACTTTGAATCGTGTGCGTGAAGGAAAAATTTTGTTGCTTACCAATCAAGGTAATATAGGAAGGTAGTACTGACATGACTCGGACAGGCTCAATGCACGGCCCCGTCATCAATATCACGCGTTCTGGCCGATTTTCTATTCGCCCACTGGCTAATTGAAAGATGGAATAACACTTGAAACTAAAAATTGTGAACCTCAAACTAGCCAATCATATATATGTAAAACAAACAGAACTAAATTCAGATGCTCTTGCAAGACTTTCTCGCTAATTTGGCAACTTACCCAGCACTGAGAAAACATTATTAGCTGATACGTTTAAAGTAGAATCCAATTCTGAAAGTTGAGAATTTGCACTTCCGTACTCACATGAAATTATTTTTTTAGGAAATTTTCAAGAAGCTTTGGATGATGCTACAGTGTCTGTTCAATTGGCACCAACTTTCATCGAAGCAATAGAAATCGGTAAGTTTTATGCATTTCCTGAGACATGCAGAAATAGTCTTCGAGAATGACCAAAAGGTTGGACTCTTGACCAGTTGACCATGCAAGCAAACAGCTTTTGCTTGGGGTTCGACATTGACTGATCTTCTTGGATCGTTTCACAATTTAATTGTAATGGCTTAATTTTTGACTTTGCTTTTGGCAGACCCTCTTCCAAAAGCAAAATGAAAATTCCAAATTTCTCAGTTTGAAAAGTAATTCTCTTACTTTTAGAGTGTTTCAGATAAAGTTGTAAGTTCTGATAATTTAATAAAAAAAGCTGCTGTATCATCACATCTATTATCTAAACTGCGATGTTTCACAAGGATTTCAAGGTCTGGGTAATGCCTTAAAGTTACGATTTGTAAGATTAAAACAGAAGTACAAGTTGAGGTGTTTTAGTATCCGCAATGGGAAAAATGATCTTCCTTGATAAAATTGTTTACAATTCTTTTTAGGGGCCAGCGCATGTGTAGAGCAACAACTGTATCAAGAAGCCATTACCTGGTGTCAGAAAGGATTGGCAGTATCCTTTGACGAATGTAGAAAAAGCCAATACTGCTTTGGAAATTCCTTTCATTTAATTACTCACGTGAAAAAGCGGAAAGTAGGCGGTTCCCATATGCTGTTGACTCTGATAAATAAACGAATTCGAGAAACCGGACGACTTTGTCATGAAGACGGCCAATAACAACAAAAATCATCTTAAACAGTACTAGGTTCAACGTTTATCTGAATGATACCCTTAATTATATATGACCCTCCACAGGATGTCAGGGAATAAGGTGAACGCACAAGCACAGCACGCTCGCACGCTAAAACAAAAGAACTAGCTTTTAACACGTTAGCTGCGTGTTGGTTACTTGCCTCATTAATTTCGCAGCAATTGTCTTATTTCGCACGGTTGAAACAAAGGAACTTGTTAAGATCTTGTTTGCAACTTTGCACAATATAACACGGTGACCATGTCAATTTTATAACACGCCTCTCAAAGTAAAAGTTGCTTTCGATTTATACAAGAAATACGTCCTAAGCTGTAAGGCTTTTTAGCTCACCGATACGATACTTAATATCTATTGCAACTTCGGTCGCTAAATCGCCAAACATAAAGGAAAGTCTCGACTTGTTGTCCATCATCTAAAACTGTGTTTGAGTTTTTTTCTTCATTTTCGAATTCTTCATTTTCGAATTCTTCATTTTCTTAAAACAGCTTGCAAAACACGGGCCGAACGAGCAAAGTTCTCTGCTCTTGAAATCGTGCATGAACTTTTGACGGTAGCAAGCACAAGCTTTTTAAAATGATAAGAGCAACCTATATGATGCAAAGCGAATGGCTACTTCGTTGATGGTAAATTGTGTTCTCACCGTGTTTGTCCGTTCTATTAGTCTCCGAGGCATTATTTATTTATATTGTTGTTTCGGCAATCGACGATGCCTTCAATTTTTAATAGTAGAGCTGCATAGATCTCCGTGATCTCCAAGTACACATCCACATCTTTTAGCCGAAAATGAACGCACTTTCGATCACTCAGATGCATCATACTCCGGAAAGTCAGAGTCAACATCGGAGTCAATCTCCTGATCAGTTTCATCCGTACTCGTCCAGTTGATAATCTTCCTCTTCTACTGGTCTGGGGCTAAAATAATCTTCTGCCAGGGATTCTGAATCTTTTTCGCCGGTCAGAAAGTATGAGAATTCATGACTTTGTGATTGCATTTTGAATCGTGATAATGAACGACTACGAAGTGTAAACGTTCTATAGTGTAAATGACGTAACTATGGAAACCAAAAGCGACTGAATGCACGCACAGGGTCCAGAGGAGTTTGAAACTTGAAATTTGCTCAGTTTACGAACTAAAAAACTCGTTCATACCTTCGACAACTTTAATTTTAATTATCCTCGCGTTACAGTTACGTTACGCAAGGTATATAGAGCAGTGCTAAAGACTAAGAGCTGGTAAGAACGGCGTACAGTAAATAATACGCGGCTTCGTTCGGGAGCCTTCGTTTTGCGCCGGCTAACTAGCGGTTATTTATTCAAAAAATTGCGATTTGCATAAAGTGACGAAAAGCGACCACGTCGTTCAGGAGACATGGAGCCGGAAATCTGTTGCTAAAGTAGTAACAGAGACTCTGTACTGGGCTTACTAACTGCCTGAAGCGATAGGGATTAATACTTTACAAGGTAAGAATTAATTTTTTTGAAAAAGTAATTTATTTGTTCAAACTGAGCTCCTTTGGACACTGTGAAACACGTCGTGCTCTCTGAATCTTTATGAAAATCCTGAGGGAAAGAGCCGTGATTTACCCTAAATGTTTCCCTTTTATTACAACTTTTGAATAGGAAAGAAGATCTTCATTTTCGCCCACATTCTGTAAGAAATATACGTTACAAATTAAACGCCATTCTTACATTTAAGGAGCTGACAAACACAAGCAACAAAGTGAGCTGGGTTGTACAAGAAAAGCTAGCGTGTTAAGGAAACAAAGGAACTTAGCGTGTCAAAAAAAAAAAAATAGCGTGTTTAAAAACAAAGATCTACCGGTGTCAGCCAGATATGAAAAATTGCTACGACCATGCTTTTCAGAATCAATTGTTTTTATGTGCATATCAACACGGTAAGCCTGTCATGCCATTAGCGTGTTAGAACGTGCCGTATGCGTGCGTTAGCCTTATTCCCTGACATCCCTCGGACGGCCACATATCAGCTCTTGCCACTATACACAGTATGTGCCAAACAACTCTAAATTCCTATCGAACCTCAAGCCTAAACACAAAGCTCTGTATTCCCTTTGCTTTCAAGTCCTATCTCTGGAGTTAAAACCTTACTGCTTGCACCACTGGCAATGTCATTGCCAGCTCCAGTCACCGCAAGTGTGTGGAGTCAGGCGCACATTCACATATAAGCTTATATATTCATCAACACAACTGATCTAGGCCATGAGAATCTTCGACACAATTTTTGTCTAACCTCCTATTCCACTTTGGGCAAAAATACACCCGGGCTCCTGGGTTGTCAGCTTATAAATCCTAGTTTGTCGCTTTAATTTTTTGCCCAAGTAAAACTGAGGAATGGAAGAGTAGTTCATATACACAGAGAGTTTTTTAAACTCGCCCATTCAGGTAAAGGATTTGTCTAATAGGGCTTACATTGAATACATGTAAATGTGCGGCTGACTCCACACACTCGTAGTGCACCGGCGGTGGCGGTGACAGTGGTTGGTATTGGTGTTGAGAGTTGCCTACGAAATGGCACAGGAAGTGTTGAAGGCTGTGGCAGGGAAGCTTGCATTGGTGTTGGCGGTGGTCCTGGCAGTTGTGCTTGAGGTTGCAGCAGCGGTGGCAATGGAAATGCTAATGACGCTCATGATAATTCTGGCAGTGCTTCTTGTGCTGGTAGTGGTGCTGGAAGTGGAGATAATGTTGGTGATGGCGGTGCCAATAGTGCCGCTACTGCCAATTTTCGTAGCACCGGAGTGAATGCTGCTATTAACCGGGTTGAGTTTGAAATTTTAGTGTAAACAGAACTGACCCGAAACTCTTTAGAAGGCAAATTATTTGACTTGACCCTTTGAAGGTTAACAGTACCAATAAGAAGTTACTTGATTTGTGGAGCGAGTGTGATAATGAACTAACTGATGGCACAGATGAAACGAGAATTCATTTCGAGGTAAGAGAACGTTTACGACTTTAAAATTCAATAAAAACCAAGAGGTAACACAGAAAGTGACACTTGCATGGAGGAGCGATAGATAAATATTTGAAGGCAGTTGTTATGTTTGTGATACCTGGAGTATGTCTAAAATCTAAGACGGTTGGCCAGTTGTGTTTCGCAGAAGTCGTTGCCAGAGCGCTGTTGACATGTTTTTTTTTTTTCACTCTGATATTGTTTATTGACTATTCATCATTATTGAATTCATTTAGTCAATTTTGTTAGACTCGGAAGGTAAGTGTTTTGCTAACTTCAAATATATTACCATTTGTGAACCTCGAACAACGTCCACTGGGTCAAGACAGTTTTCATCTCATTAGTGAAGAGGCTCAGAAAAGAAATATCCTCAGTCCACGTCCAGCTAGCTTGGTTAGATAAATGGAATAGCACCATACGCAAGTCTGGCTCATATAATAAGCCATCGAGAAACATAATTAAGGATAGTTAAGTCAAGGGTTAAAAAGTTACGATTGAACGATTTCAATATTTCTAACTTTAAACCTTAGAATATACATATCAACGAACAGCTACCTCAAAGACCTGTTCAAAAGATCCTGAAAGAATTCGAAAGAGCCATCCAGCATCATAAACGTCATCAAAAATTTGCCAAAGAAGTGGGAGAAAGGGCTGAAGAGGGAAACAGTTACTGCAATCTAGGCAATGCTTATCATAACCTGAGAGATTTCAAAAGAGCCATCCAGTATCATGAACGTCATCTAAAAATTGCCAAAGAAGTGGGGGACAAGGCTGGAGAGGGAAACAGTTACTGCAATCTCGGCAATGCTTATCATAGCCAAGGAGATTTCGAAAGAGCCATCCAGTATTATGAACGTCATCTAAAAATTGCTAAAGAAGTGGGAGACAAGTCTGGAGAGGGAAAGAGTTATTGCAATCTCGGCAATGCTTATGAGAGCCTAGAAGATTTCGAAAGAGCCATCCAGTATCATAAACGTCATTTAAAATTGACCAAAGAAATGGGAGACAAGGCGGGAGAGGGAAACAGTTACTGCAATCTCGGCAATGCTTCTAATGGCCTAGGAGATTTCGAAAGAGCCATCCAGTATCATGAACGTCATCTAGAAATTGCCCAAGAGGTGGGAGACAAGGCTGGAGAGGGAAAGAGTTACCGCAATCTCGGCAATGCTTATCATAACCTGGGAGATTTCGAAAGAGCCATCCAGTATCATAAACATCATCAAAAATTTGCCAAAGAAGTGGGAGAAAGGGCTGAAGAGGGAAACAGTTACTGCAATCTAGGCAATGCTTATCATAACCTGGGAGATTTCAAAAGAGCCATCCAGTATCATGAACGTCATCTAAAAATTGCCAAAGAAGTGGGGGACAAGGCTGGAGAGGGAAACAGTTACTGCAATCTCGGCAATGCTTATGATAGCCTAGCAGATTTCAAAAGAGCCATCCAGTATCATGAACGTCATCTAAAAATTGCCAGAGAAGTGGGAGACAAGGCTGGAGAGGAAAAGAGTTACTGCAATCTCGGCAATGCTTACCATAACCTGGGAGACTTCGAAAGAGCCATCCACTATCACAAATGTGATCTAAAAATTGCCAAACAAGTGGGAGACAAGGATGGAGAGGGAATCAGTTACAGTAACCTCGGCAATGCTTATCATAGCCTGGGAAATTTCAAAAGAGCCATCCGATATCATCAACGTGGTCTTGAAATTGCCCAAGAAGTGAAGGACAGGGCTGGAGAGGGAAAGAGATACGGCAATCTCGGCGTTGTTTATCATAGCCGAGGAGATTTCGAAAGAGCCATCCAGTGTCACGAAATTGATCAAAAAATTGCCATAGAGGTAGGTGACAAGGTTGCAGAGGGAATCAGTTACTGCAATCTCGGCAATGCTTATCATTGCCGAGGAGATTTCGAAAGAGCCATGCAGTATCACGAACGTGATCTAAAAATTGCTAAAGAAGTGGGAGACAAGGCTGGAGAGGGAAACAGTTACTGCAATCTCGGCAATGCTTATCATAGCCAAGGAGATTTCGAAAGAGCCATCCAGTATCATGAACGTCATCTAAAAATTGCTAAAGAATTGGGAGACAAGGCTGGAGAGGGAAGGAGTTACGGCAATCTCGGCAATGCTTATCATTGCCGAGGAGATTTCGAAAGAGCCATGCAGTATCACGAACGTGATCTAAAAATTGCTAAAGAAGTGGGAGACAAGGCTGGAGAGGGAAGTAGTTACTGCAATCTCGGCAATGCTTATCATCGCCTAGCATATTTCGAAAGAGCCATCCAGTATCATGAACGTCATCTAAAAATTGCTATAGAAGTGGGAGACAAGGCTGGAGAGGGAAAGGGTTACTGCAATCTCGGCAATGCTTATCACAGCCTAGGAGATTTCGAAAGAGCCATCCAGTATCATGAACGTCATCTAAAAATTGTCAAGGAAGTGGGAGACAAGGCTGGAGAGGGAACCAGTTACTGCAATCTCGGCAATGCTTATGACAGCCTAGAAGATTTCGAAAGCGCCATCCAGTATCATGAACGTCATTTAAAAATTACCAAAGAAGTTGAAGACAAGGCTGGAGAGGGAAGGAGTTACTGCAATCTCGGCAATGCTTATCATAACCTGGGAGATTTCAAAAGAGCCATCCAGTATCATGAACGTCATCTAAAAATTGCCAAAGAAGTGGGAGACAAGGCTGGAGAGGGAAAGAGTTACTGCAATCTCGGGAATGCTTATCATAGCCTAAAAGATTGCAAAAAAGCCATTCACTATTATGAACGTAGTCTAGAAATTGCCCAAGAAGTTGGAAACAAGGCTGAAGAGGGAAAGAATTACGGCAATCTCGGCAATGTGTATTGGGAGCTGAAAGATCTAGAAAGAGCTGTCAACCTGTATCGTTCTTGTGTGGTAATTTTTGACGCTATCCGAGCCAATCTGCGGTTCAGAGATGATTGCAAGATTAGCTTCCGCGACATGCAAAGAAACGCATATATTTGTTTGTGGCGTCTTCGTTTACAACAAAAACAAATTTTAAATGCGCTTCTATCTGCTGAACAGGGACGTGCACAGGCTCTTAATGATCTCATTTGTTATAGGTATGGGTTGGAAGAAATACAGCCTCGGCCTCACACTCAAGGGGAGTCTGATTTTGAGGTCCTTCAAAGCGGTGCTGTTTCAAATACAGTTTTTATGGCTGTGGATAACAAGGAACGCAAGATATTGCACTGGTTTATTAACAGCTTCCAAGACATTCAATTGAGAAGTATTGAAATAAGTAATTATAGCTCGTTCGAAGACGTCGATACCTTTATTGCACGCTTAATGAACACAGTATCAAGAGAGTTTAAAAGAGGTGTTACTAAATGCGAAGATCGCTCTCTTGATGAGCCCTGCACAGAAGAATTGGTGAAGAAAAGGTCAGGTCGTGCTTATTTCTCTCCTGAATGCTCCCCGAAAGCTGCTTTACGGACGTTGTATGACGTTATCATTAAGCCGATTGGTGATCTCATCAATGGCAATGAACTTATCTTTGTTCCCGAGAGTTCATTGTGGTCAATCCCTTTTGCTGCATTAATGGCTTCCGAGTCAAATTATTTGTGCGACTCTTTCCGAGTTCGAACGATTCCATCCCTGACTACTTTGAAGTTGATAAACGATTACTCAGACGACTTCCACGATAAGAAAAGTGCTTTACTCGTGGGTGATCCATGTTTGGAGGGGGTTCTTTTCGAGGAGAGGACGCTCGATCCATTGCCATGTGCGAGAAAAGAAGTAGTGATCATCGGGAGAATCCTTGGCGCTGATCCGCTTATAGGTGAAGAAGCAAAAAAAGATGAAGTGTTGAGGCGACTTCCCTCTGTTGCCTTGGTGCACTTTGCTGCACATGGCCGAATGGAAACAGGCGAAATTGCCTTAGCGCCACGAAGTACTTGCTCATCACAGCCCTTTGTTGAAGAGGATTTTATTCTAACAATGAAAGATGTGCTGGATATTCGGATACGGGCAAGGCTGGTTGTGTTAAGTTGTTGCCACAGTGGTCGTGGGGAGATTAAGGCTGAGGGAGTTGTTGGAATTGCAAGAGCGTTTTTGGGTGCCGGTGCTCGCTCTGTTCTCGTGTCTCTGTGGGCGATTTATGACGAGGCTACTCTTGCGTTTATGAAACATTTTTATAAAGAATTGGTTACTGGGAAGCTTGCAAGTGAAGCTCTTAAGCAAGCTATGAAGAGCATGAAAGAGTCTAAAGAGTTCAGCGATGTGAAGTACTGGGCACCCTTTGTACTCATTGGGGATGACGTCAGACTGGAATTAAATTGAAGATAAGAGTTTGGATATTGTCAAATGTAAGTAGGCAAATATTCATTAATGATATATTTTGAATTAAGCGCACATCATATTTGCACGAAGGGAAGTGATCATCGATGCCAAGCTATAAGTTTCTGCCATTCAATTTTAGTGCTCTGAGCAGCTAACTGTAACGGCTCTTATGCCTTTTGTTTTTAGTCACGCAATAACAACGTATGATTTGCAATGAGCAGAAGAATGATATCCTGAGTTGAAGGAAGACTTTAAACAAAACCTTTCCATGGATGTATAATGATAAACATAATGACGTGATATCAATCTCAGTTTGTGTACAATGTATATCAAAATGAGTGAAAAGAATATTTGCTCGTCAGTGCTGTTGCCACGTATAGCTTGCATCGAAAATGTTAATTGTTCTCTGCGCTGACTCCTTCGATTTCTCATACTTCTACAAATATCGGTGTGTTAAACAGGTCTTACTTTAGGGGCGTATTCAAACCTATTTTAAAATGAATATTTTCTATTTACTTTTCAGACACCTTTTATCCTGTTTGTAGAAGAGACAAGATCCTTGTTGATGGATTTTGGCAACTTCTTCAATATTTTCAGCGATATAATTTTGGCGAATTCTTCAATTCTTTCTGGAATGAGTAGACAGAAGTTAAACCTCGAAGATTTGTTCGCAGAGAATTTATTTCAAAGGATCATTTACTTTATTTGTAGAGCGAAGACGTTTATCTCGCCAAGAGACATGTGATGTTTTTTAATATCAATCTTACGAATGTTTCATTTTCATTGTAAAATTGAATTTATTTTTAAGTTGCAATTTCCTTTGTCGGTTAATAATAGCACCAAGGGAGTTTCTATGCAAACTGAATGTTAAAGTTTGTAGTTTATAGCTGTGAATATGTGACAATCATATATGTGTATATATATACTTCATATATATATATATACTTCATGTTAACTTCATTACAGCGGAGATCGCTTTCGTAGTCATTATCTTTATTATAGTTTTTAGTTTTTGGTTTTTGGTCTTTAGAAGAGAGTTTGGATATCATGTCAAGATCCTTGGGTCTTTTAAATTTCCTCGAGTTGGATTTTTCTTTCACCAAGCCCTTTTTATTGGGACAGTTTTTGTAGCGAGTTAGGCACAGTATTGACTCAGAAAGTTATTGTAATCTCTTTGACTTTGTTTTCATGTGAAAATAAAAATTCAGTAACAGAATGTCCTTTGTTATAGATTGGACCCGTTTTTTAAAAGAGTGGATAACGCTATCCAACGGATAAATCAGTGGATAACTGTTAAGAAGACGTACTGCGCTATCCACCGGATAACGATTTATCAAGTGGATAGCGTTATCCAACCTTTGAACAACCGGGCCTTGATGATGGAACTCAGCCCGGTAACATCTTGTTTAGGGATAACCTTGAAAAATGAAGGATTCGAAGCTCATGCTTTGTGATTTTCTGGTCGGATGCAGTTGTAGGTGATCATTATTTATAACATCCTCTGCGAAATTGAAAGGAATAAAATTCGATTTTTCGAGGGGAATTCGAGTCTTTTCAATAAGTTTTAGTTCCCCTCATTTAGTTTCCCTTCCCTTAGGGTATGACTTTAAGCGTGCGCTCGATGAGAGGGTTCTTATAATTAGAAGTTTGACCACAATTAAACATCAAATGATACGTCATAACAGATAAAATGTTTATCTGTCCTTGCAAAAAATTTTCTGGAAAGTTATTCGCGTGACCCAACACTGCTCTCATTGCACTTTTTTTTTTCTTTTTTTTTTCTTTTACATTTTCGTCCTGTTGCTTTGTTTCACGGACTAAGGCTGTTTCCCCATGATGCAAAATAGTAATGATAAGCATGTTCCCTCTGCACTGTATTTTTGCTTGTACGTAGTGTAGTCTGATTGTTCGGGTCAGCGAAGACTTGAACAGAACTGTTGAAAGTGGCAGTAGCTTTAAGCGTCAATGAGAAACAAACGCCACTATTTATAACACTCGTCAAGAAAAACAACAAGCGATTTGTGACGTTCTCTTAGAGCGTAGTGCCGCCAAGAAAAAACAGCGGAACAGAGAGGGAGAATCAGGATTTTGGCTGGGGTATATCTATTCCACCTCGGCTATTTTCAGAATTATCCCTTTCCTTCTTTTACCAAGTAGCGTTCATCGCAAAAGCTATCTCTACTGTCTCCGCCATTTCACCATTTATTGTTTATTGATCTAGGTAAGCCTATAGAGGAAATCTCCTTCTCGAAGCAAATATTTTAGCAGCCTCGTGTGACTTTACTGCGGACATTTTGTCACCTGACGCTCAACGCCTTGAAATTTGATAAAGACCTGTTGTGCGATAGAAACATCGACACTAGAATGAATGGTCCAGAATTCGGTAACTCGGGGTGACTTCTGTCTAATCACTCAAGTGCGCGTGCAGCTCAAGCTTCTTTAGCCTTCTTCCGTTAACTCTTACAATGGCGGTAGTAAAAACAGCGTTTTTTTTATAATCAAAGGCTTTGACATCGTAACTGTCACATTTTTTTAAGTTTGGTTAGGTACTTCTAATGATCTGCAACTGTCTTGTACCTCATTTGCTTATTGGAGGCAAATCAATGCTCGCATTAGTGCCCAGCTGATAGCCCACACTCTTATAACAAAAAAAACTGAAATCTTAATTCACTCGGTACTATGTACAGCAAGCCGTCATTATGGTAAATATGGCATGATGCTACATATATGTTATTTGCCGGCTGGGAGGTCCGTATGGTGAAAAACTGTGACCGAGGTCTTGAAAATACTGCCCTCGGCCTACCGTACGATGGCCCACAAGGGACTCGCTGCAAAGAAAAAGAAACGCTGCAAAGAAAAAACAATCGCTGCAAACAAAAAAGTGAACGCTGCAAACAAAAAAGTGAACGCTGCAAACAAAAAAGTGATCGCTGCAAACAAAAAAGAACAGATCATGCGTGCGCATTATGCCCGAGGGACTGGATAGAGTTTTGCTCGTCTCCAGAGCCTACGAGTATTTCCCTCCATTTTTCAAACGTCCGTTCTCGTTGAAAAACTAATCAAAGAGTATTCGTAATGTTTTGTAGCCATTGTGGCATTGGGGATGCTCAAGAGAGTATCTGCGATAATTGTGTGGCAGAAAAAGATGTAAACGAAGTGATAAAGCGCTATTTTCATTGTGGCTATCCTTATGACGCTATTGTGGGTCTTCTCAAAAAACGAGAAGGACTTCAAATGTGCGTGCGAACACTGAAGAGACGTCTGAGATGTCTCGGGTTAAAAAGGAAGGGCAATGCAAAGATAATGGACGATTCAGAGATAAGAAATGTCATTCGTGAAGAAATGGAAGGCCCCGGAAGTTTATCAGCTTACAGAAGTATTTGGCACGCCCTGCGATTACGGCACCATGTTCATGTTCCACGTAATTTGGTCGCAAAAATAATGAAGGAAATTGATCTTGATGGGGTAGAGGAGAGGAGATCTCGAAGGTTAAAGAGAAGAACGTTCAGCTCAAAAGGAGCCAATGCATCGTGGCATTTTGACGGTATTTGTTTTTTACTTCGTAAATCATAGTGGTGTATTGTAAATGTACATGTAGGAATGTAAAATCTTGCATCTAGCCTCATGCCCTTTCCACTTCAAGATTAGTTGGTTAGACGACTTATCTACTTAGATTTCTAATTTACAAATTTTATCTTTTTTAGGATATGACAAACTCAAACCTTATGGTTTCCCTATTCATGGTGCAGTGGATGGCTTCAGTAGAAGAATTTTATGGTTAGAAGTAACCCGGTCTAACAATGACCCTAAAGTGGTTGCAGCCTTCTACTTAAAACAAGTAAAGGAACTAGGTGGTTACCCTTTGCTACTGGTGACTGATTGTGGCTCAGAAAACGGTATTGCAGCTTCTATTCAGTGCATGTTTCGTACCATTATGATCAAGATGAACTGCCAGGTGTGAAGTCTCATAGGTACTGCTCATCACCTGCAAATCAACGAATTGAAGGGTGGTGGTCCTTTTTCAGGCGAAATAGATCAAACTGGTGGATAAGCCTTTTCAAGGACATGGTTGATTATGGATTGCTTTGTGTGGGAAACACTCTTCATATGGAGTGCTTGTGGTTCTGTTTTTCAAAGCTTCTTCAGGATGACTTGGACAAAGTGAAGATCATTGGAATAGTCAAAAGATTTCCAAGTCTCCATATAGTTCTGTTCATGGGGTACCAGATGTTATGTACTTCCTACCAGAATATCATAGACATGAAGAATGTCTAGTTTCTGTGCCAGAACAACTAGTAGAGGATATGGATGTACATTGCCAGAGTGAGAGGGAAGACAATATCTACCTTGAATACTTTGAATATATTTTGGAAACTAAAGGCTGGGTTTACCCTAGTACACCAAGAGAGGCCATAAGATTATATCAACACATAACAGAATTGCAGAATGATTAACTGAAAAAAAAATTAATGACTTGGGACATTTCTTCTACAGCGAAGCAATTCCTGTGTGAATTGAATGTGATATTCAAAGGCTTGTCACTGATCAGTCTATTGAATCAAATAACTAAAGATGACGTTGTAAAATTGGCATAACTTTTTTAATGTTTCATCAACACAACAGTTAGCATGCATGTTAAGGCCACCATCCAAAGTCTGAAAATAACATTCAATTTGATAATTTTATTACAGTATTAACAATCAATACTACCAAGGTGTAACATTTTGACATGTAAAAGCTTTGATCTGCACATATGAATGAATAAACATTACTTGAAATTTGTGGTTATCAATATTGTTCTATAGATCACATTTTTTAAAGCCACAAACAGTGGGAGAGGACAGCAGTCAGTTTGCATTCCAGGGGATTATTGAGATATGGACAATGGAAAGGCTTCCTTGACAGAAATCAACATGTCACAGAATGGCTGAAATATAAACATGAATTGTCACTGGTTTTTCTACCAATTTTTATAACACTGTCTTCACATGACAAAGAATGGGAAACCCTTTGCTGTTTTTCTGTCCACACCCAATCACCTATTTTTCTGATTGACCTTATCACAAAAACAACAACACCACCAAGATAACTAAACTCAAATTGATCAAAAATGTGTGAGTAATATTGTTTTAACAAATTGACAAGAATTTTAACAAAAAATTGTTTTCCTTGATATATTTTTATAAGTAGTCAACATTGTACATTATTTTAAAATTCTTTAGTTCTAAGAGCCATTTAAGGTAAAGTCTAACTCAACATACAAAATTTCAAACCTTTTAACCCTTTAACTCACAGATCAAATTTGTAATTCTCCTAAATGTCATCCATACAATTCTTATAATGTTAGTTCAGAGAAGTTAGTATTGGATCAACTTAATTATCCCCAAATTGATATTTTTCTTTACTCTCAACACTTATCTGGTTGACATTGTATTGATATTGTAAAGATAAATTCTGTCTTGATCACTAATGGAAGTTAAAGGGTTAAAAACACTCAAAAATTTGACCACTGCACAATGTCATTAAACAATATTGAAATGCCATGCCTCTTTATTTTGCAGTAATTCACTGAATTCTTCTGACAGCTCATTGTATGACTGGTATGATGATGGGATTTCTAGTAGTGCATGGTCCACATGTATGTGCTACAGGTCTACGAGAGGTGCCCTCAAGAGCCGAAAATGTCACCTCAATGCTATCACAGCTTATGATATCACTTCCAGTAATAAACTGCAGGAACACTGACAATGAACTTCCCTGTAATGAACGGATATATTTTTTAAAATGGTCCAGGCACTGTCGTTCTTGGTCAGTTCCTGGCTCTGATTTCATTAATTTCACAATCTTTTTGGCAGTAGGCCTCTTAATGTCATAAAGATTCTCTAGAGTTACAAGAGATTGGAAATCTGGGAAAGCAATCAAAGGTTTCAAAATAGGTGCCCAGCAATTTGTGACATATCGAGGCTTCTGAATGATTTCCTGGTGAGCAAGTTCAGAAACAATCTGCAATATGTTTTCTTTTGTGGGAGTTTGATAACACTTGTAATTAGAAAGAAAATCAAACTCGTCATCATTATCATCATCAAAACTTTCCTTAAGACATTTCTCAAGAGTCTCCCTTTCATCTTCTGAAATGTATAGATGGAAGGAAGAAAGGAAAAAATCACTTGTTATGCTCTCTTCACCAAAAAGGCATAATGCAACAAAAGCTCGTGACAATGGAAGAGGAAAATATCTCTCCTTTATGTACCCATACATTAGAATTCTGGCAATTCCCTTGCGAACTGAATTCCCAGTTTTCTGGGAATTCCTAGGAATTCCTAGGAATTCCTAGGAATTCTCAAAAATTCCCAATTATGCAAATGACCCTTGCAAACTGAATTCCCAGTTTTCTGGGAATTTCTGGGAATTCCTAGGAATTCCTAGGAATTCCTAGGAATTCTCAAAAATTCCCAACTATGCAAATTAGCTCTGATTTAAAAAGCTTGGAATTACTGGGAATTTCTGGGAAAGGAAGACTCCAGTTTTGTGAGGACTTGGAATCCCCAGGAATTCCTAGGAATTCTCAGCTTTACAAACTACCTATAATTTAAGAAGTGTGGAACTCTTGGAAATTTCTGGGAATTGAATTTGAGGCAATTTTAATACCCTGAGGTCCACATAAATTCTAAGAAATTCTCAATACCTTGAATGTGAAGGTTTTAAGAAAGAGTCATTTCAGAGGCTTAAAACTTTGGCTCAATAAAAGGTATGCTATACAAAACCTACCAAGAGATATACATACATGTACATGTTTATAACTTAAAGATCATGAAATTTATTACTCAAACTAAGTTTTAGTAAATCTTCACATTAATATGGATTTTCTCATGAACCAGCTGTCAGTTATGTTAAATGGAAATTGCCAACTTCCACAATAATTAACAATAATTACATTGTTATCTTACTTCCCTAACCTACATTACTGGTTGCCTTTGTTAGAAAACCTTGGAACAGTCAAGCTCAGTTGCCTCAAACGCTGTCAGAGACTTTTTGTTGACAATACTTTTAGAAGAAATTTCATGCCTTAGACAAACAAATTCAACACCTAATTAATCTTTCTTTTTTCATGATTGTTGTTGCTGCTTTTTTTTTCAGTTTTTTGCTCTATTTTCATGACTAATTGCTGTAATTTGTTTTGCTGTTTTTATTCTTACAAAACATTTTTGTAAGAGTTCCAATACTTGTGGATCATCCACACACTTTGCAAACATTTAGCATGCAGACAAGACAGAGGTAGTCAATGTTCCCTTTGAGGAAAAACACCTTTTATATGACGTCTTCAATTTACTTTATTTGAAACTCTGATCTGAAAATATTTGTCAAGAAGACTTGTTAGTAGTGAGAAGTACCAACCAAGTTTCCTTTCATAACTTAATCTCTTAAATGTCCCAATCACTGGATCTCCCAAAAAACATTACATCTTTTTATTTTTGGTGCAAATTACAAGTCCTTCTTTATATAAAAATGAAAAGTGCTAGTCACACTTCAATAATAACAGCTCTTAAGTTTACTTGTTGTTCTTCTCTGTCTGTCAGCTATCAGCAAAATTGTTTTATACTTCGGGCAGTGCATAACTATTTGTGGACCAGAGTTCCAACGCACCTCTGTAATCGCATATAGCTACTTCTGTCTCTTGTACAAATGTTTCTCCTTTGTAAGACGCACTCTACTCTGTTGTCAATACTGCTTTAAGTTCAGTGGAAACGACTGACTGAGGAATCGAGATGGCGGTGTTGGAACGTGTTGCTGAACGCTTGCTACGGTCAAGCTTTGTAGATTTAGGTACTGGTACACTGGGATCATCTATGTATCTCTTATACTTCCGAATGTGGTATCCTTCTTTTATAAATATGAGGGTAAAAGACGATTTGTAGTCGCATTCAAAACTGTGATTGGCTTGTGTTATTTCTCACCTTTGCCATTAACACAACTCAAGTGAGTTTCGAGTCTTTGTTTCCTCGACAACTTTCGGCCACAAATCGTGCATTTGTAATACGATCGATTCTTGTCGATTATTTCTACATAGAGTGAGCTCAAATCTTTATTTATATCACCAAGCTATCCATCTTCTAGAAGCAGAGAACCGGTCGGAGAAGTCAGAACGGGAGTTACTACATCACGGGCGACGAGCGGGGCAGGAAGAAATGACCGAAATACAAGTGGTCAGCGGGAAAACAAATTTAATACTTCATATAGAGACATATCAGTTGTAGTTGGAGAAAGCAATAGCGTTGTAAAGCCGACATGTGAACAGTATACTTCGCTCAATAAAATGTGAAACAATTTTTCAAAAGTGTTGATGGCACATATATCTTTTACTGCTATATTAGACAATGCAGGTATCAGGAAAGGCATCGGTTGCATTCGGAAAGGCACTAAGAAAAATTATATTTACGTTTTGTAACTTGCAAAAAACAATCGTGTTGTAAAGCCAAAATGTTACCAGGTTATACTTCGGTAATTCAAAAGTTAAGCAATTTTCCAAACGCTTTGACTGGAAAAATATTTTTACTGCTATATTAACCAACAGAGGCATCGGGAAAGGCATCGGTGACACCAGAAAAGGCATCAAGAAGAATGATATTTACGATATGTAACTTGTTGTTTGACGAAAAACAGTATCTTGACTTGTTTAAGGCATTAATCACAGTCGGTTTGCTTTTCACTTGAATTTTGCAATCTCGACTTTCGATTCCGGAAAAATGAAAAGCTAAGCAACTCTAAAAAAATTTCGTTCTAGATTTTTGTATTTTTAGAGTCATTAATAAGTTTGTATCCACAGCCTTTAGATAAAAAATTTTAAATTTCCATCTGCTGTAGTTCTTTTAGTGTTTATTATATATATTCAATCGCCTCGTTTCACGTGAAAAAGGCATGTAGGAAAACACTGAGCTTCTAGAAACAGCCAAGTTAAGGCTAATGTATTTACCATGCTTAAATATTTATAATGAGGGCCACTCGTTTAGGAGACCTTTTTTCAAAAGACCCAGGCGTTAAAAAAATTCTGTTTTCCATTCGAAGTGTTTTTTTTCTTTTTTATTTAACAAATGAACTCGGGATGAAAACTTTCGAAGCGAACGGCAGGTGAAATGTTGTGTTGGTGTCTCTGCCCCCCTACGTCTCTGCGAAAGGTACATCCAGACAACCTGCATGGAAAAACTGACCACAGCTATCGCACCACATTTTTAAAAAAAAATCTTTAAAACTAAACTGGTTAGCAGCACTCTGCGAACGGTAGTTGTAAAACTTCATTATTCTCCGACGCGTTTCGTTTAACTGTCGTAGACTTCTTCGGGGAGTTTTACAGTTTAACACTAAATAACTGTATTTATAAGCCATAGTTAGTGGCTATACGGGAGCCAATGACCATATAGGCTTGGCCGGACCTACGAATAGGAACTGGTGAAGTTGCGGAAAATTTGAAAATTATTTGGGGCAAGGTGGGAGAATTCATTTGGGGACCACGGTTTTGATTTTCTTTTTTCGTCACGCAGCAAGTTACAAAACGTAAATATAATTCTTCTTGGTGTCTTTCCAGATGCCACTGATGCCTTTTCCGATACCTCCATTGTTTATTACAGCTTTATTACAGCAGTAAAAGATATATGTGCCATCAACACTTTTGAAAAATTGCTTAACATTTTATTTAGCGAAGTATACTGTTGACATTTCGGCTTTAGAAGACTATTGTTTTCCGCAACTATAACTGATATGTCTCTATATGATGTATTAAATTTGTTTACCCGCTGACCACTCGTATTTCGGTCTTTTCTTCATCCCCCACTCGTCGCCCGTGATGTAGTAACTCCCAGTCAGAACAAAGTTGGGCACTTCTCCTAACACTGCAATCGGCAAGCCAGCGGATTCACTCTGCTAGCCAATGACAAGTCCTAAAAGATCCACGTGATCATGCCCGTGATCGGAAACAAAGAAGACTCCATTTGGCGCTCATCTTTGAATGTACTTTTCATCGGTTGATCGCTTTTCTCAACTGTTTTGCTTAATATAACATTTCTAAAGATAGCTTTTATTGTGGTTCAATGGGAAAACGAGAATAGCGTGAGTGTTGTAAAAGAAAAGAAAGTCGTTGGCGCCGTGGAGTTAAAAGAAGGGACAACAGTTGACATATTGACTGGTACAAACAAGGGTCGAGTGGCCATCTGTAAAGCTACGATTTTGAAAGTTTGTGGTGAGTAAAAATTGCGATATTCGTTACGTGATCAAAATCTTATAAAAGAATAGATGTAGCGGGTTGAATTAAGCTTACATAACGCTCGGCGCAACTGAAACTAGAATAATTCTGAGAATCGAATCGGTCACTTGCATGCCGCAGTTTCTTAAGCTTATTATGCTTTACAATGAAATAAACCTATCAGTAAGGTTTCAAGATTCCTCTAGTCACGTTTGGGAACATTCAAGATTCATAATAGGAACTGTTATTAAACAAACCTTAGTACATAAAGAAGCCCTCCTTGGTAAAAACAAAATAATGTATTCAGCCCTTTTTTAGTAAAATCCATGAGAGAGATATACTAACTCCAATATAAAAGTCACTCAATATAACAGAGATTTCTCAATTTGAGAATCCAATGAATGCCCTTTTCCTCATAGCCATCTTAAAAGCCTGGTCTGAGCTTTAAATATACATATTTTAATATATTATTTTTTTTTAAATTCAGATGTCAAGGAATCCAGATACAAAATGGTCAAGGTTCGTGTTGACAACCTCATTCAAGGCCAACTCATTGTGAGCCCAGGAAAAAAAATACAAACAGTACAAACAGCAGCTAAGTTTGCAGTTTAGGATAACTTCATTCTAATTTATTGTTACAGTTACAACAAGATTTTAATCAAAAAATCAATTTTATTTGTCTGTAATTAGCCCCTTCACTCCCAAGAGTGCTTGGTTTTCAAATATAACTTAAGATATTGTATTTTATGGAAAAGAATCAACAGATTTTATTCACAATTTGTGTCAAACCAAATTTAATGATTGATTAGAACTATTTTATATGAATAGCTGTAATTGAGGATTAATCCGTATGAAGTTTTCAAGAAAAGAAAAATAAATCAAATTCCATCCTAATATTACCACACATTGATGTTAATAATTAATCAAAAATATTTTACATGTAAGCCTTAAATTAAGCTTCTAAATAAATTTCATTGAATACTTGAATTTTAGCTGGGTTTTTTTAATTTAAAGTATTTATTTTATATCATTAGCCTCAAATTTTTGCTTAAAATTCCCAGTAATTCTTAAACATTCCTAAAAATTCCCAAAAATTCCCAGAAATTCCCAGAAATTCCTAGGAATTTTTTAGATTTACAGCTTTCAGGGAAAGTCATTGGTTCTCTGAGTTGGAATTCCTAGGAATTCCTAGGAATTCCAAGTCCTGTTGGCTATAAACTTTGAATTTCTGGGAATTTTTGGGAATTTCTGGGAATTTCTAGGAATTTCTAGGTTTTTAGAACCAGAGTTGTTATGGTTAGGAATTCCTAGGAATTCCTAGGAATTCCTAGGAATTCCCAGTCCGAATTTACCGTGAAAATTCACACCTTTATTCCTAGGAATTCCTAGGAATTCCTAGGAATTCCAAAAGCCATTTCGCAAGGGTAATGCTTGCCATTCAGCTCTTTGATAATCATGTCTGATAGCAGGCACTTTTTCTTGAGCTCCTACTGTTAGTGAGTTAAATAATTAGTTCCAGAAAGTGGATAATGCATCACGTAAAACATCAGCCCCCTTTCCCTCTTCCTCCCTACCATTGCTGCCAGTAAAGGTCACATCTAGATTAACATGAAGTATTGTAGGATCCTTAAAGGTTTCGATCAAATTATCCTTAAGTAAAGCCCTATACAGAATTATCTTTTGAACAGGACCCTCTGTTAACAGAGCTTCAACATCTACAGCATCTGCACCTATCAAAAAATCAATCAATTTATGAATAAATAACTGCTGCATAATGCACATTTAAAAACTGATTTTAGCAAATTGCTAAAATCAGTTTTTAAATGTACATTATGCAGCAGTTATTTATTCATAAAGTGATATTAAATGCACTAAAAGCTTGTGCATGTTCAGTCAAGAAATACAGAGACACCTGTATAGAATGGTAGACAACATGATACAAGAAGAACATTATGTTCTTCTTGTATCATGTTGTCTACCATTCTATACAGGTGTCTCTGTATTTCTTGACTGAACATGCACAAGCTTTTAGTGCATTTAATATCACTTTTTAAATTAATAAGAATATCGCATGGGTACACAATTCAGAGAAAACTTACAAAAGCAGATTTTCACTGACCCGTGACTGCTGAGTGAACCCCTTGAGTTAATGTATCTGAGTTTGCAGCTGTCTGGGCTGTGGATATGTTGCTTGCAGCTGTCTGGGTTATGAATGTGCTACTTGTAGCTGTATGGGTTGTAACTGTGTTCCTGGTTGCTGTGTGGGTTGTAACTGCAGTGTTCCTTGCCACTGAGGGGGTAGTAATTGTGTTCCCTGTTGCTGTGAGGGTAAAATTTCCGCACAGCCCCATACTATTGTAAAACAAATCTGTTTTCCCAATGGCAATGTATTGTTTTAGTCATTGTTTTCTCTATTCAAGAACTGAATGCATAATGAAGTATGGGGCTGTGCGGAAATTTTACCGCTGTGAGGAATGTGGATGTATTTGTGACAGTATGGTTCAGCCTACGGCCTATATCTCCTTCACTTTCAGTTCCTTGTGCCATTTTCGTCAACTGTAATGTGAATATGAAAACTGAATCATTAATCATCATCACAACAGTCAAATCAAACGAATCTTTAACCCCTCACTCACTGAGAAGAATGAAAGGGAATTGATTCTTGAATGAGCTAATAAGCATATTACCATAATCTGAATCAAAGAAAAATAAAAATCAAACCAATCTGAAATACGTCAAACCAAGGAAAATTTGAACTACAGTATGTATATCAATCAAGATTTAGATCAATTTATTTCCACGTAGGGCTTTTTCGTTACGAAAAATAACACTGTAATCTATGGTAGTAATTAAAATCTTCATACCTCTTCGTAAGTTGGCAAACTGACATCACTTTCATCACTGTAATACGATTTCAAAAACAAAGCATCCATGATAGCTGTTGTTTTGCAGAGGTATAAGGTAATTCGGCCGTAAGCCTTCCCTAATTCCTCCTTGTATCGTTGTAGTGTAAACGGTTCCGTTCCCCCTGGAAGGCACTTCACTTCGGTTCTGTCAGGATACAACAACGTAAAACTACTGGCACCATATAAGCTTAAGTCGCTGTTGAACTTCACCATCTTTTCGGCTCCTTTCCTGAGAAGTTCCTCCGCACCAATTGATGGAAAGACTTTAAGCGGCAATGACGACCCTCTAATCGCTTTCAATTGTCCGTCTTTTAACCTGATAAGACCTATTTGTATAGTGACTTCATTCTCGCTGTTTTCCTTTTTCACTTTCTTCACAGATTTACTAACAAACCTCGAGCTTCGTTCTTTCCTTTTTCTATCTCTGTAATCGTCAAACGTAAGTATAGTGTTATCTTCATCTTTCACACCTTTCGTTAACCCGCAAACTTCGCAAAATCTCGCATCAGCGATAAATCTGGCACCACAAACCGCACAAAACATGCCTTCTTCGTGCATGAATTGGCGAAAGGAGTAAGGGATAAAATGCGTGGGAAATGTCTTGCTGATCAATGGAATCGCGGGGTCCGTGAAAGTGCGCACGCAACCCCTTTTTAAATTTTTTGTTTGCAGCGTTCACTTTTTTGTTTGCAGCATTCACTTTTTTATTTGCAGCAATCACTTTTTTTTTATTTGCAGCGATCACTTTTTTGTTTGCAGCATTCACTTTTTTGTTTGCAGCGTTCACTTTTTTATTTGCAGCGATTGTTTTTTCTTTGCAGCGTTTCTTTTTCTTTGCAGCGAGTCCCTTGTGGGCCATCGTAGATGAGCGACCTTTGTTCGATTGCAGTAAGAGACAAAATGTTTTCGCTTTTTTTTCGTTTGTTTCCAGCAGCACTTTTAATAAGTTAATCAACAGTTTTTCAACATTGTAAGAATAAATAAAACAGACTTTCAAAAGAATAAATAAGCGAGTAAACGTACAAACACACGAGCGAACAAAGAAACGAACGAGAGAAAAAGCGAACAACCAAAAAAACCAACAAACGAAATAACAAGCAACTGTCTAATGAACAAACGAATTAAAGGGGGAACGAACGAATGAAAGAGGGAATGAAAAAATGAAAAAAAGAATTAAAAAATTAACAAAAAAAAAGAAACAAATGAAATAACTAGATACCGAATGAAACAACGCCGGAACGAACAAATGAAAGAACGAACAAACAAAGAAAGGAACAAACGAAAAAAGTGGATGAATGAACCGACTGGCGGGCCGGAGAACCAGAGGAAAGTGAGAGTTCGTCAACCACTCAGTCAGTCAGACTGAAAGACTGGAAGACATAAAGATGAACGTTCTCCATTTACTTAGTTTTCTTATGAGAAATTCTTACATCATGGATTTCTCTTTATCAGATCTCACTGATTCATCATGGCTAAAATATTGAGAGGCCGGTTACCACCATTAATGAGAGAAGCACTGGCTGAGTTTATGGCAACATTTATCTTAGTGGTTAGTATTGGTAATATCAACGTTATTTGTATATTAAATAATTCTATTGATCAATTATACATTTTGCCTTTTACACATTTTCTTTAAGCTTCTAAATATAATTTTTCCTCAATGTTTTATATTTTAATAAAATTTATGTAGTATCATGATATACATTGTAAAGCGCGATTAGATGTCAGTGAAAACGAAATCGCGTCATATTATTGTCGTTATTATGTTAAAGAGCAAGTAGGTCGTGTTCCTCTGGAATCAAATTTGTTAGGTTGGTTGGGTTTTTCTGGGCTGTATTGCAAATAAAACACTTTAGACTGATTTTGTTGATCGGGTTGAAACGGTCGATAAAGTAACGAGTGAAGACCACTGTCGTTTTCGCGGGCTTAATGTAGTCAAGCGCAGGCTTTAGTTGCCAGCCACGTTCCTTGATGTGGACTGTGACAAAATGGTGATTAACTCGTGCCCTTTCAATTAACACGCTAGTGAGGGAAAAAAATTTAAAGGGTGCAAATCGGCGAATAAGTAATTGGTAATAATCAACCTGAGGTCGCCCTCAGCAGGTACTGCGTATCAACTCTTTAACCTCCATGAGTAACCAAGACAGTCTATCCTTACAATATGATTTAAACAAGTGATGAGGATAAATAAAGATATAAATTTGGGAATTATTAGTTAGCCCAATACCAAATTCTCCGATTTAACATCATAAAAATTTTATAGCAGACATTAAGGAGAATTACTAAAGAGATCTTGCAAGTGAAAGGATTTAGACCAAAGTTCTTTGCTTGTTTGTTTTGGTTTTATTTGAAAATTTATGAGAAAATACTACGGTAAATTGTACTTTATTCCTTTCACAACTTTATCCTCTCTAATTTCCTAGTCCTTTGGCCTTGGCTCCGTAGCTCAATTTACTCTGAGTCGCAGTCAACTTGGAACCTTCTTCTCGGTAAATTTCAGCTGGGGGGTTGCAGTCACGATGGGTTGTTACTGGGCTGGGGGAATATCAGGTGAGTATGTTTTCACGGTACAGAACCAATAGTGTTTCCAAAATTATCTTTTAATGTTTTTCCAAATTAACTTAAAGAAGATGCGCCGCAGTAATGTTTTAAAGGTTGAAAGAGGGTGGAGGGAATTCATTATGCGAACTAAAGGTAAATAAATACAAATACATCTGCTATTTATTGCATCTTCCCTCGATTAAGGTGCACATATGAATCCAGCTGTGACCCTGGCCCTTGCTGTGGTGCGGCGATTGAAGTGGACCAAAGTTCCTGCATACTGCCTCGCTCAGCTGCTTGGAGCCTTCTTTGCGTCAACTGCTGTTTACGGAATTTACCGTGGTGAGAATAAATTTGTCTTCTTGTCATTAACTAGAAGATTTTTAACTATCACAATGCTATAATTATCATTTAAAATATTTACAATGGAAAGCTAGTAGGAGGTACGGTGGCATGATGCTCAGTGTGCGAGGATCTGGGCTCTGTGTGGTGTTCTTGAGGAAAACAGTGAACATTCACAGTGCCTCTTCATACCCAGGGAAGCCCGATCAAATAAATTCTTGGGGTTAGGGTTGCGATGGACTTGCATCCCATCCAGGGACCGTTAGTTGACCTCAAGGGGGAATAGTGATACTTCGCTTCATGCTAGGGAAACCGGGATAAGATCCAGTTGAATGGACCAAGTCAATTAGAGAATTTTTAAAATGGAAAGCTAGACGCATTTCCCAAATCGTTAAATGGTGGAAGAAGTGCTTGAAAAAGGGGCCTGTTACTTTCGAGCGTCTTACAAGCGATCGTGGACACGCACGAGATGAACGCAAATCACGAGTCATGCTTCTCTTCTCGCGCGTGATTCACACTTTGTGCTCACATCACGGTTATCTCCACTGGCCTGAAAAACGCAAAAACATGGCGCCTGTTTGCTTGCTGTAGAAAAGTAACTTTATTGAGCTCATGCGACTTTATGAAAGGTTTTTAGTTTGGGTGATCATGAGTCGCAGGTATCACTCGCATCCAGAATCATGAAAAGCATATGCGTTCACGTAATTTCTTTGAAATTGGAATATCCGTCTGGTAATAATTTTTGTGCACTTATTTGATGCTGGGAAAAGAAATTCTTTTGTCATTATTTTTTTTTCTGCGCATGAAACCAGATGCTCTTGACGCATTCGACGGTGGTATTCGTCAAGTGACAGGCCCCAACGCTACCGCAGGGGTCTTTGCAACGTATCCAAAGCCTTTCGTGACGACTGCAAATGGATTTGCTGACCAGGTAACAATTTGTTCTCGGGTCCCCCGAGCCTCTCCTAGATCGGCCACTGGATTCTATGTTGCGGTGGGTCTGTTCGGTAATTCATCACGGAAGGCGTCAAAATTTGGAAAGAACATCAGTAGGTGATCAGTGATAATGTCGGCAAAGCCTAGTTCGCCACTTTTTTTGTTCTTTCCGCATTTTGATAACATTTTGACACCGTATGTGATTTATATTACTGAACAGACACACGGTAACATGGTGTATTTGTTTAAAGACGCAAGGCAAGGTGAAATATATTATGGGATCTTTCTTTCCCCTTAAATCAAATGACTTTAATTGTTTATAGTTTTTTGGCACCGCTCTCCTTGTCAGCTGCATATTCGCTATCCTGGACCGCAACAACAATGCCCCCGACCAGGGAGTGGCACCGGTCATGATTGGTCTGGTCGTGTTTGTGATTGGCACCACCTTTGGATTAAACTGCGGTTACCCCATCAACCCCGCTAGGGATCTGGGGCCAAGAATTTTCACTGCAATGGCTGGATGGGGATCTGAAGTTTTTACGTAAGTCGTTTATGAAGTAAAATATCAATGGAGTTGTCAAATAGCATATTACATGTAAGAAGTCGTATAGTAACTAGGTATGCAGAAAAACAAGCAAAAAGATCTGTCGAGGCTGTATTTTAACCATGTGTTCAGAACGGGCCTTTTTTAGCGAAATTAATTTCCTATTCTAGAGGTAATACCAAAGACCATATGATCTCAAGAACTGCCTCAGTCTATTCTAACAATCTGCGACCTCAACCTCTTGTTCAAACGATTAAACTTGCAATTTTGCGATTAATATATGACATTGCAACGATCCGAGGATCTGAATTTGGTAGGATGGATGGAAATCACGTTTGTTGCTAAAACAACCATTTCCATATTCCGTTTCAGGGCATATAATAATTGGGCCTGGGTCCCAGTCATAGCATGTCCGTTAGGGGGAGTACTGGGTGCCATTGTCTACATCATAACCATTGAGTTTCATCACTCAGCATCTGCAGATACAGAACATCCCTATGAACCAATTTGTACAGCAGCCGCCAGGACAGAGCAGAATGAATCACTTTTATCCTGAACAACAATGACTTAGCAAGATGGTTTATCTTCATGACTAACTATATAACTATTTATGACATATTATCTCGTGTTCTCCCAACATCCCACGTGGTTTATCGGCCGGTAAACCGATAGAAAGTGTGGTTAAATAACATTTAAATAATATATGTATACTCTTCGCATAGTCTAATATCTCAAAGTTATACACCGAAGGCTCAGAGCATTTTGTTGATTATAACCCACACATTAATACCCAGAATAATTCTATTCTGTTAGCCTCTTAACGTCACGTGGTTCAAAATCACCGGACAAGTATTACGCAACAGCCCCCATCCAAGTCAATATTTGAACTCCTCCTATTACCATAAAAACAACAACAACAACAACGAAAACGAAAACGAAAAACAAAAAACAGAACTTGCGGAAAAAAAAAAAGACTCAAGAGTTCCACTTTTTCATCTTTATTACTTTACATGGAAGGGAAAAGAACTCGTTTTGTAGATTCCAGTGATAGTGACATTAAAAAGCTTGTCTCAAGTGCTGCTCCGAAAAGTACAAAATTTGCTGCCAACGTGCGATACGAAATTGAATGTGAGGGTCATGGAATAGATAAACCCCCTTCTGGCTTGCTGGTATGTAGGCT